TTATCCCAACTGAGATCATCCATCAATTCTTTATCCATCAAGTACACACTGAATCAACTGACAGTGCTAACGCAAGCCCAGACAACGCAAAGAAGCCCCAAATGGCCATCTTGTGCACAAAACTCTGAACATGGCACAGTAATAGAAGATGAATAAAGGCGCCCATTTTCCTAAGTGGTGATTCACCACCATGTGTATTTAAGGAATTATTTGCATCTGATCAGTGCAGTTAGGTAATTTTAGACTCTGGGCTTATAGGGCAATCCTGTACAGATCTACTGAGATGTAAGAGCCACTGAATTCAATAGGGCTTAATCCCTGGTTGGAGGGCCGGGCGGGGGGGGGGGGCGTGTTCATTCTGCTGAGTGCACTGAGCATAGTCCTTGGCTTTCGTCCCAAAGTTCTGCCCTGATGGCAGCTCCACCGTGCTGTCCTACCAAGTGGCAAAGAAAATATTAGCACTCCATGAAGTAGAAGCAGAAGTGCAGCAAGAGTTGGCTCACCCGCGGGACAGAAGAATGGATACGTGGTTACACGAACATGGGGGTGGGGTGCACCGCATACTGAAATGATCCAGTGCTCAGGCCCACAAGGAAAAAGCAAAAGCACGCGTATGCTGCTTTACATACATGTTACAGTCTCTCTGTGTGTCTTTAAGAGACTTTGTCTCCTAAGGATCTTCTATTAGTAAAAGTGATGTATGGGCAAAGGAGAGGAGGGCATTTGATTTCACAGAAGGGAAGAAAAGGTGCAGGCACCTTTTTGGCTGTAAAGTCCTGGCCCAGGGGATGCTCAAAAGCTCGAAGGTGCTCAAAGGGCCCTATCACAAAGATGGGGCCTGCCACTGAAAGCCAGTCACTGGGGCCATAATCCTGGCACACGTTCAGCACCTTGTCCTTCTGGTGCTCAACACCCTGGCACAAACAGTTGGTAAATAATTACCCCATTTGCACAAGTGGCATAATTCTGCAAGTGCAATTTATCATGCTCTCCGATATTGCAATTGCTGACTCCACAACCAGGGGTTCCTTCCTGAAAGCCTCGATGGCATCCAGACTGCTGCTGCACAGCGCCCTCTTGAGGCAAAAGCATTAGCAGGGAGGCCAGCATGGCACATGCATTGCCCATCTGCTGCACCAAAACAGGACTGTGACCAAAGAGCTGTGGTGACCCCTCCTGAAACTGTGGGTTTATGCAGAGGGCCGTGCGCCAAGGTTGGCCCTGAAATGGCAGTGGAGACAGTTCAGCTGCTTTGCGATGGGAGGAGGTGATGGCCATGGCTGCAGCAGGGGCGTCCTCTGTCTCAGTCTCTTGGCACAAAGGGTACCACCTCGATTCAGTGGAGGCTCGCCTTCCCTCCTGGGGCCCTGTGCATGGGTGCGTGCGTGCAAAATGCATCTGCACTGGGTGGGGCAAAGGCCAATGGTGACCAGGACTACCACCATGAATAGGTGGTTCACCACTTTTTGCCACCTCCTTTTCTCTTCCTCCTCCTTCCATGAAGAAGCCTCTGGGTGAAGGGACAAGGGGTTCTTACCGGAGCGCTGACCTGAGTGCCTGCAGAGAGGTTTTGACAAGTGCCAGGCTGACCCGTTTTATAATAGGTCATCTGCTGCCAGCATTGCTCTAGGGGGGATGTATGCTGGGTAGAGCAGGGGTGAAGGAACATGGCGCCCAGCATTCTTCTCTGGATCACCATCACAGGCTGTAGTTTTAGCAGTATTAAGAGAGGAGGAGATGCTGGCACCACACCAGGTGGTCTCGCTATCTCTCAGCACTGTAACTCCCCATCCTCTGTTGAAGTCAGCCAAACTTTTCTGGACCCGACTCCATAAAAGCATCAGAAGCCCTACCCCCAATTCACTGCATCAGCTTCCGAACACCCAAAACGGCTCTGCTCCCAGTATCTTGCACAGAGCTGGACTTCGAAGCCACACCCATCCATCTCCACTGTTACAACATGATGGCATTCCTAAGTTCTCCACACTCCACCTGGATGTCAATTTTGCAACTCGTTTGGGGGAAGGTTGACATAAATAGAGCAGTGTTCCAAGTCCTATGGCTCTGACTTGCATTTCTCTGATGCCAACCTAAGCAGAGCAGCAATTGAGCTGCCGTCATCCAGGTATGCTAGGCCGCTGTTCTCTTGCAATGAAACTTGGAACATTACCGGAACAGAATATCATAGAATTCCTCTTAGGTATGATTTGAAGGACAGTATGGTTTTTTCATACACATCTTCCTTCAGAAATTGTAATCCACAGAATTACCTTTGAAGCAGTTATGGTGCTTCTGTCATAGGCACCACAGAACCAGGCTGTAGGCAGGACAGGCTCTCTCCCTCGATAGGCCTACCTTCTCACCACCTTCTCACCTTCATGGTCCCTTCTCACCACCATTGTGACCAGCCTCTTCCTCGCCGCAGCTGCCACATGCTTGCTTGACAGGCATCTCCTGTTGCTCCTCCTCATCTGGGACAGGACAAGCGGCGGATGAACAAGCACGTTGTCATGGTGAAAAAGGACAAGCACATTGTGTTGCATGAGCTCTCTCAGAAGAATGGCCAGGAGAGTATAAAGGTTCAGCACATTGCAGAGTGAATTTTCCCAGTGACCAAAGCCACTTTCTTGAAGATCTTGTGGCATTCAGCTTGTTAGGAACAGCGCCAGGGAGAATGGCCTTGAAGCTACTTTCCCCAGCCCTTCTGTAGATAAAAGCTGCTTTTGCTGTGAGAATGAAAACTGTTTACCTTACTGGAGCAGCTCTGACACCTCCCCTTCTCTTAGGAAGTGTGTGTGGTGGGGGTGAGGTTAGAAGGAATGAGAGAGAGGAACTTTACACATTCCATAGCAAGATGTGTTGTTCTTCGTTCTCAATCTGGGAAAAGGAATTGATGTGTCACTTACCTAGGCAACTTTGGGGGTCCATAGAGGATCCCCTGGCCTATTCAGAGAATCAATACAGCCACAAAGAAGGAGAGTAAAAACATGCTTTCACTTGCTTATCATCTTTAACACAAGTGCTTTTGTTTTATCTGTGTCCTTGGGTCTGGAAATGAGGTGGTTTGGTTGGACCAGGGTCCTGGGCTTAATGCACACGAACAGGGAGTACTTGCTGGGGGGCCACAGCTGGAGTGTGGACTGCCAGCAAATGCCTGACCATGCCTCCCCTTCTCATGTGGAAAGCACAAGATGAAGGAAAGCCAGACTTTGCTTTGGACCAAATTAACAGATTGCATATTGGAGGAGCAGGAGGGAAAGAAACTAGATGCAGGCATGTCTGCCTATTTGAAAAAGTGGGTGGTGTTGCTCTGAGTTTTGGAGGTGGCAGCAAAATGCATGGACGGATTCAGGGTGTCTTAACATTTGCAGCAGTGGCTTAAAATGGCCAAACTGCACCTATTCACATGGAAGACATTTTGGTTCCACTCTATCCCTGCAATACTCTTTTTTAAAAGGACAAGAATAAAGGCACATAAAAGTTTGTTTGCTGTGACAAGAGTAATCCAGTAGATGGCACTACTGGACAGCACTACAGTGTAGAGGGCCTTTAAATACTGATATGATCATCTTCTTCCATTGGATGCTTACTTGGATATTTGGCCTGCTTTTGACACCTATGTACAATTGCTAGAAAGCTGCATGCATTCCATGCAAATCCATGTACTAATATTGGAAAAGCAATCATTAAAATGCTCAAACTGCCAATTCAACCTCTTGGGTTTCATCTACAAGCAGGGGCTTTTCTTTTACAGTTCTGGGGCTCTGGATCTGGGAACTTTGCAGAGCCATCTGCAAAATGTTGAAAGATGAGGTTGCTGATTGTTCTTTTGTCCCGATCCTGATTCTAGCCAGATCACACCTAGCAGAAAGTCTTTGACATTCATTTTGGTGGAGGGACGGCTCTTCATGCACAGTTTGGTATGGCTAGATCCACTCCTACTAGGCCCCTTAAGCAAAACATTAATGGGGATGTCGGGACAGAGGTACACACGGAAAATAATTTCAGTCAAAGCAAGTGGGCTCGGCAACAACATACTGCAGTGCTCATTCTCGGAGTTCAGGCAAGCCATTCCTTCACGCAGGGCTTCCCCCATCCCTCCGCACTTCCCTTTCAAAGGAAGTGGCCCCTGATGCCAAGCTCCTTCTCAGGGTAGGACATCTGTTTAAAACCTTCCCAAGAACTGGTTGTTTACTCTCTGTTCAAATATGATTCCACATTCTCTTCCCAACCATCTCACTACATTCCATGGCTACTTGGTCCCAGGCAGTCCTCACTGGACTGATTTTTGCTGAGGTTTGCCCCAACTGGATTTCTTAACAGCTGTTTTGTGCTTCTGTAATGCCCCTCTCTGCTTTCTCCATCACCCATTTTGGCTACCTTGCTCTTGGCACTCATCAGGTCCCTTCCCATCTTAGAAAGAACAATGCTATAATGCAGCAAGTTCTGTTTTGAATGCAGATGGTATAGTTTATACTATAGACAGACAGTATAGTTTGTGGTGGATTTTCATTGCACAATTGCCCATCTCCCTAATTCTATGTGTTTAAATTTTCCTGAGTGGTAGTGGTGGTTAGCTGAATGTACAGGGCCTTGCATAAGGTAGCCAGGAGTTTAAAAATGTGGCTATGCATCCAACATTGGTGACAGGTAATGGTAAAAAAAACTTTGGAGCTCTGCTGACACACAGTAGACAATACTATGGTCAACAGATCAATGGTCTTGACTTAGGATCAAATGAACACCCAACTGAATGGCAAGGAGAACATCCAAACGGGATGCACATCTCCTTAAAGGGAATCAACAGTTTGCAACATCTTAAAAGCACAACCAAAGTGTATCCAGTGGTTGCCACGTAAAGGCAAGGCTACCCTAATTTCCCTGCAGTTTCCACGGATATCTGAAAACATGTGATAAAAAAGCAGAAAACTCTGCATAAAGGAAAGGGCAGGACTCCCACATCCCATGAAATAAATGATTGCCAAAAAGGCCAACAGTGATAAGTTGGGACTTTAAAATTTATTCCAACGTGCTATTTTTTAAAAAATATGCTCAGATCGAGTAGACCGTCTGAACTGTAGTAAAGGCAATATACGTGTAAAAACTTTTTTCATTCACAGTACAGATGTCATTTACAATAAGGGTCACAAACATCAAATGCAGAGTATTTTTCTCTTTTTTTAAACATTATATTCTGTGCTTTTCACCTGCAATTTTTTTGCACTCTTATAACCATACAGACATTGCAAGATGCAAATGTAGAAACTGAATTGAAAATAAAAATTACAAGCAAAACTACCAAATTACACTGTACTCTGAGTCTGTACATATTTACAGTACCTTTTTGGAATGTATTGCCATTTTTAAGAACATATAGAAACTTTCTAAAGCCTATTCCACTTACAGAATACATACACCTTTTAGAAAAAAAGGCAAATATTTATCTTACATGAGACCATGTATATTAAATTTGCGTACACATCATCAATATTATTAATATCTTACATTACATTTACTAAAGTGAGCATAAGTGCCATAATATTTCAATAATGAAAACTTGTTTTAATGTCATCATTAGGACCCAAATTTGGTATTTTCATAAAAAATATTTTACCTCTTAATTCACAAATACTGTGCAATAACTGGACAAAAAAATCCTAAGGAACACACAATAAACTCAAGTGCTGAAAAAAGTAAAAGGGGGGGCATATTGAAAAATGCACAACAGAAGGGCTAGATCGCAATGCTACATGCTTAGCTCAAAAGCATTTTATCATTATCAACAACACAATAGCTTTAATGCCTTTTAAAAACTAGTCTCAATGGCATTCTAATTTTTTCATGGCAGCTGACGCTGGGAAAGCCAGGAATTGGAAAAGGGGGGAACTTCTACCTACAAAGAATCAACAGGCAGAATACAATGGGTTTGGACATCACACAAAACCATAGTTTAATGGAATGAAATCAAGCCATGTGCTCAGACACTCTCCCTCCTCCAATGCAGCTGTGAGAAGTTCAGAAACACTGGCTTCTGGTTAACCACAGCATGTTGTATCCTCTGAACCTGACGCCCTATGATTAAACTTAATCATGGTTTGTTTGAAACAATTTGATGTGAAAACATGGGTTATGAAACTGGCTTGTTTCAACACATCATACCTAACCACAGTTTAAGGATTAGGGCTTAATGCTAAACTTTAAAAAAACAAAATCTCAGACATGATCAGAAGCTTCTAAATGCCTCCTTGCAGTCAGCTGGGAGTGATGGGAGAGGGAAGCGTGTGCATTCAGGGCTCACTGCAGCTCATTCCCATCGCTCTAACCTGTGGTTCATCATGACATGAATATGGGCAAGTCTAGGGCGAGTTCAGTGATTGGAAGTGTTTATCCACCAGGCTAATTCTTTTCGGTGTGGGCATCTTTCCCGGAATAGTCTGAGGATCCCAGCCTCAGTCAATAGTCTTACATTTACATTTATCGACAACACTATGTGGCTGCAAGCTCTTTCCCTGACTCCTACATGGACCATTGTGTTGATCGAATTGCAAATACGAGGAAGGACGCTTCCATGGCTTTTTCTTTTGTTACTTTTCTGAGATTCTCAACTTGAAAAAATGAATGTCTGCAAAGTCAATCACAAATATAGGTAGCAAAGATCCTTGCAGCTGAGTTGTTTTGAGGACTGCCAACCAACTCAGGTATAAATGCCAGAATTTATTTAAGAAAATCTGAACTGAAATCAAATTGAGCCTTACCGAAGTAAATCTGCCAGCACAGTCCAGGTGGTCCAAAGTTTCCTTGGAGTGACGGGCTGGTGGAAGCAGCCTAAGCCATTTCAACAGGGAATGGTTCTCGCATTTGTGTGGAACACTGGCTAACACTGAAGGGACAGGGCAACTGTAATCACGACAAAGTCTAACTGGAACACTGGACCATAGCCAGTCTTTAGCTTACATCCAAGTGGTTTGATTTTGCTGGGTGGTGGGGTATTCAATGCCAGCAACGTTTTATTGGCTTGGATGCATCCTGAAAGATACTTCAGGACAAGCACCAAGCCACGCTTTGTCGTGGTGTCTGAAGCACCTTCCAATAAACTATGATTGTTGAGTGGCTTCCACATCAGTATCTCAAATCACAATTTAAATGGCTTTGGAAAAACTAAGGTTTGGCATTACATCTGAACTGACATACCAAGGCTGGCACCATTCCTCTGTCTTCTGAATCCACTCTTTAGGATAGCATCTATACATTCTCAAGGAAGGCAGAGGGAAGATGGAAAGCACACAAACCATGGTTTTCTTGTACAAAACATGGTTTGTATACTGATGCTGCAGTCCTATGTCCATTTACCCAGCAGTAAGATTATTTCTGAGTAAGACAGGTATAAGATCCGGCTGTAAATTATAATTAGAATAAATCATGGTTTGCTGTTATTATGACCAAACCAACCATTTGTGTGACAGCAACTTCAGTAAACTCACATTACTATGCAGATGACCAAATATTTTTAAATCTTAAGCCTTTAATGAACAATCAAAATGTCTACACAGCCAAAAGAAGTAGTTAGTTTAGTATCTTTCAGAACACTGGAAAATTAGGCAAGTATATAAAGGTGCTTAAATATCAAGTCTTTCATGGATTATAAATCTAATTATAAAGCACTTTGAAATAAAAAGCAATCAACTTTTATTGATGCCACCAACATTTTAAAATGTTTTCTTCTTTTTCTCTTTGGCCTCTAAATGAATAAAACTAAGAAGGGCACTCTAAAGTACCAAAGGGAGGGTTAATAAATCATAATACAGATGTCTTAAGCTGGGAAAAAAGACTTTCAAAAGGGGTTTGATGCAAAGTAGCTTTACATAAACCATCATCAAAAATTTGAACTCAAAGTTAGGCCAAGTAGAAAGCAGTTCTAGAAATAATCTACAGAATGTACAATCCAATCACATGCCTGTTTATTGTGAAGTAAATTCATTATGTTCAATGAAATCTACTCCTAAAGGTATGGAAGTGCAAACTTAGGGTGCACGTGTGTTTACATTCTTTGCTGCAAGCATGATTACAGTGCTATCTCTGGGGCTGGGGAAGCTCTCCTCCAAAGCAGAAGAATGGATGATGAATCGGACAGATCTCCTCGGTCTGAGAAGACAAGAGGGGACAGTGTGTGGCGTGGCTGTCTCCTTAGGCATTCATCACAGCACCACACTGTGGGACCACGCAGCGGCTCTGCAATTGACCCAGAAGGTTTCGTTCAGCGGGGCCATTTAAGTGCTTTGGGTTAAGCACATTCTTAAGGCTTTGCTAGGTCTGCCTAGAGTGCTCAGCACCTTGCAGGATGAGCCCTTAGTATGTTTAGTAGCTTGCCGTAAGGAGCCCAGCTCCACCTGGTCAGCCAAGTGCACTTGGTCGGCCACCAAGAAATGCCCCACAGACATCCAGGAGTCCAGCTGGTTGACAGTAATGACGGGCTGAAGGAGGTTCACTGCATGCTCTGTTTTTTGCTTTGTATGCATCACACAGTAACTCCAAGCTTTTTCACACATGAGGGTTAAAGAGACTTTGGCTTAGATTGGTCTATAATAGGAATGCAAAGCAAAATGAAACCCAACATTCGCAAGAATGTCAATTCAGTTCTTCTTCTTTTTCCCTCCCCTCTCTCTCCACCACCTTTCTGCAATCACAACTGATGCCAGTAGTGCAAGAATGGCTTGAGGCTCATTTAGGCCTCAGGTGTGATAACTTAACACTTGCAACACCTTCATCGAACTGCACTAAGTCAAACTGGAGAACCGAAGGATACATTGACGTGGCAGGAAGGAAGGGCAAAAACGGTCACAAGCAGATATGCTAACCTGAATGTTCAGGAAGTAGGCACTCTATGTCAGATCCCAACAAGAAAGAAAAGTGAAGTTCAAGTATAGTCATCAGTAGAAGGAGACAAAAACAAGACATTGTCACCCAAAGCAACAGCACTTTGGCTCAATGCCTTGAATGCTCTGCCTGTGGTTCAAGCAGTATTGTGATCCTTTGTCAACAAACCTTGGTCTCCATCCCCTCTTTCACCAGATGAAAGTGGCTTTGTGGAATAGTATGGAGATGACTGGGCTTGGCTGCCACATCAGACGAGCATTTGCACTGCAGTGTGGACAAAACATCCCTTGACAAACTCCTAGGAGTAAATTTAAAATAAAGGTGCAAGAGCAAATATACCCAGATGGTTATTAATATTAGCTCTGGGTTGTTTACAGATTCCATGAGAAAATGAGGAGGAAACATAACTTCCAGTGCACCCAAGGGACAGAGAGAGAGAAGGGAGAAAAAATAATAATTGAAGGCTGAAAACTGAGCACCATGTTGCATTGGATCTAGCCCTAAAGCAAAACCAGGTACGCTTAGAACATGTGTACAAGTAGAACATGGACTAATCATAGAGGTGCAAGAGTCTAATGATGGCTCATGTACAATTTCAATATGGAAAACCATTTGGTCCAAAAGGGCTGCATGGAAAGCAGGTCAGTGAAGGAGGGAGGGCAGGATGGAGGGAACTGAGGGGAATAAACAGCCTGAAATTGCAGGGAATTCAGAGCCATAGTGGAAATAAGAAGCTGTTTTCCAGCCATGCCCAGAGAGGTTCTGGTTTGGGGCTTCCTCCTTCAGTGAAGCCAGTGAGTAACACTGTGAATCCTTTGACATCGATGTGAGTGTGGTACCAATTTCCATTGGAGCCAGACTTCCAAGGTTGCTGTTCATTCCCCTATGACCTGTTGAAAAAGGGGGTTGTATTGGACCTTCCATAAGGCCTCTGGTTAGGTCCTGGACTCCAGCACAGAGTCAATAGCACATAATTCTGTTCCTTAGCACTGAAAGAGGTATTATAAGCAGTAAACAAGGAAAATATAGTAGACCATGAAGAACGTTTTCCAGTGAACTCTGAAATTCCAGCATTAGTTTGGTCACCTTCACAAGATCAATGTCACTTTGACCCAAAATAAATCAACCCCCCACCCCAAAAGCAACATCTTGTGGTCCTTAAGTTACCTAATACAAATATGAAATGATACATCACAACTGCAGAGTATTCAGCTCAAATCACACCCATCCCAGGTTATTCAGCTGTGCAATGACAACAGTTGGTGGCTTTTCAAGCCTGCCTTAAAATGCTCTCATTCAGGATTTCATTATATTTGCACTGTTAAATAAAAAGAGGGAGGCGAACATGCATGCAATAAACTGGAACTTCTCTGAAGGAAGGAAGGACTGGTCCACTGGTTAAATATTTGTGGAACTGGTTTTGCTTCATTAATTGTGCAAAGTATTTGGGCAGACTCCATACAGAACAAGAGACTCTCCAAACAAGCACTGAGCTTCCTATCTACCCGAGTAAACATTTGTTCTAACAGTCAAACTTCTGAGATGGCATTAACATGGCAAAGCTGCATGGCTCTGATGTCACAGCTTGGTCTGTACTCTTCCGGTGGGCCTGTTTTTATAATTGCACTACAAATGTTAAAGAACATCCATGTTTAAGTGGCCATTAGACATTTGCTGTTGCAATCTATGCTATAGGCTAACAATGGCAGTTTTTCATTTATTCTGTGGGAGGGGGGATAATATGTGAAAATTTTGTTTAAATACCCCTTATTTTCTTCTTTGCTATGTCAGTGTAGTGACCAACTAAAGATGGACATGTCCAAGATCCATCCCAGAACCAGGTATGGGCTGGGCTGGTATAAAAACACAAGCATGGACTTAACCCAGACTGATGAGATGCTTCATGTTGACGGTTCACACCAAAGCCAAACTGCAGGTTCCTTGGCTGCCTCTGCTCCTGCCCATGCTTTTCTCCCCCCTGGCCCCCACCAGAACTTGCTGGGCCACAACTCTCCTTTCCACCAAGCTGGTGGCAAAGGGACCCACAGAAACCTGGTCGGGGGGGGGGGTGCCAGGTGGGGGAAGGTGCTCTCTGAGACCTTCAGAGATGGTCTCACATGTCAGACAGCACCGATGGCCATGTGAAGGCCATCAGGTCAGCAGCCCTGCCGTTTATCCCCCCTCCCCTGCTTTGCGGTTTCCAGAAGTGGGATCAGAGGAGATGTTCTCCAGTGGAAGCGTGGGGAGCAGGTGGCAGGAAACAAACAAGCAAGACATGCTGCCAACGCTGAGAGTTCGCATCTCAGGCTTGACAGCATGTTTCCAATGGAGGAGCTTCTGGGGGGCAATGGCCCAGGGTCCACAGCAGAGCCTCGAGCTTTAGCAGCTGGTTAAAGGCACTGCGTGGGGATTGTGCGTATGTCGTAAAGCAGCAGCCAGTCATGGAATGTCAGTATTAAAGCAAGAACGGCTTTCAGAAAGCTAAGATCTCCTACATCATACTCATTTTTTCTACATTCAATACATTCTTACTTCCTTGCAATTTCAGCGGGGCAGGGTTGTTGTTTTTTTTAATGGGCATGCGTGTGTCCCTTTTTTCAAAAGTGCTTTTGAGGGTTGTATGTAAGGGAGGCACATTCTGAGATCCTTTTGTGTTTGAGTTGCGGGGGGAGGGGGGGTCTTTCACCACCATCAGGGCCTTCCCATACAAAATAAGTGCTAGTTTCATTTACAATTCAAAAGTAAACACTTCTTTTTTCCCCCAGATTCACTCAGTCACAGCTGTCCTGAAAGCACACTTGCAGGGCAACCAGAGCAATGCAAATAATAAAAGAAATAATTATAAAACAACAAGCACTTTGCCACATATTAAATAAAGCAAATAATAAATAGGGGGTCTTTGGGGGGTTGTAACTGTCTGTACATGACAACGGGGTCGGTCCCCCCAATCATTCAATCAATATCATTTAAGAGGTTTTCAGTGCAGCCTCAGGAAACAGTATTTTACCCTTTCCTGTCTGCGTTGGACAAGCCCAAAGGAACAGACTTTGTCATGGTGATGAGAGACACAGTCTTCTAAACCCCTTTCCAAAATTCTCTAAAAAATAAAATTAAAAAAATCATCGCTTCTATTTGTTTGTTTGTGTATTTGAAGCAACAGCAACAACAACGCAAAACAGTATAGAAAAAGGCACAGGTACATGTGGAAATAATACCAGACTGGAACAAAGGAAAAAACGCAACGAAATGCACGAGTCTCTGTGGGTTTGGTCATATGCTAGAGAGTCTTTTCCTTTAGCAATGATTATTCTAAAACCAAGAGCATTAGCAAGGTCTGTTTTGTTTTACTTGGGAAGCCTGTGACAAAAAGATGGAGGGAGGTTCAAGTACTTCTCGTATTGTTATCCACTTGCCTTTCTGCGAGGCGGAAGCCTGCTTGCTCCACGGGGGGGCTCCTCCTCCTGTGCGGCCCCCCTTGGGGCGCTGGCTCCCCTGAGAGGTTCCTTCTCCTGACAGAGAGTGGGCAGGAGAACTGGCTCGAGCCAGGCTCCAACAGGCAGCCGGTGCTGCTGCTCCTGTCCAGCGTCTGCGCAGGGAAGTCCGAGAGAAAAGTGCAGGGGGGGTCAAAAGAGGTGCTTAAGCTGCTACGCTTCTTCTTTCCCTTCTTGCCTGAGAGTTCTTCCCCACTGACCAAAGGCTCAGGCGACGCTCCCTTCTCTGGGCAGGAACTCGCTCGGGGGGCCGGGCAGCTGTCCTGCTCCGAGCCACCGGCTTCAGCACGTGTTTTTACCCTGTATTCTTCCTCCTTGGCTGCCTTTTGGGGAAGCTCGCTAGTCCTTACCTTCTCCTGCAGGTAGCTGCTCTGAAGCGGTGGGGTTGCTGCTGATGACGGAGTGCCACGGAGGTCTTGGGCCTTCCTGCCCCTTTCTTTAGCTTGGCTGAATTCAGAGAAGGGCTCGCCCTGTGCAAAATAGCTGACTTGCCCGGACATCACTGAGCTGTGCCCCAACCTAGGGTGGCTGCTGGGCCTGGCCTGGACCATCTGGATGCCCCCGATGGGGATCATGGGGCATGGGCTCCTGGTTAACTGTTGGGAGTGCAGTGGGAGATGACTGAAGATATAATCTTCCACTCGGCTCGGAGCACGGACGTTGATGTCGTGGGGTGACTGCAAAGGCCTTACACAGAGATGTTGAGCACTGCCCGGTGAGCTCGATGGGCTTCTGGATTCTTTCTTCTGTAATGACAAAAGGGTTTGCACATGTGTGTGTGTGTGTGTGTGTGTTTTAAGTGCCGTCAACTCGCAAGGTTGCTGCCCATTGAGCAGGGATGCAGGATGCAGGCATGGGAGCCAGCCTGGGCCCTGCTGAGGTCCACCTCCGAGTTCCCTGGATGCCCCCACCTCCTTCCATCGGCCCCAACAAGCCCCAGTCACAGAGTGGCTTCAATGTGCAGTGTTTTCCCCCATTCAAAGGGTAAAATGCCTCCCCCAGATCTTTATTCCTGTCAGGAGGAGCTGAAAATTTGGCCTGCCCCTTTGGCCGCAGCCTTGCTCACTACTGGAATGCAGCTCCCGAGAGCTTCTGCACTGTACAGAGAACAGACACAAAAACCAACACGCTTTTAGAAAGGATGCCTTGTTTTGGAGACAAAATGGAGAAAGAGGAGGACAGAGACACTCTCCCCTTTATTGCACAGGCCGTCCACGGGCACCAGCAAGCCCTGAAATCCCTTTCTCAGCACCTGTCCCACTTTTTCTTTCATAAATTAGCACCTTTTCTTACTGGCTGCTGGGACCTCTTCAAAGCAAGGTGAGGGCCTCCATCCACTGTCACCTTCCGTCTCCCATAATTCCCATGGGTCACATGTGAGGTTCGAGGGCATTTTTAGTAAATGCGCCTAAAGACTATTGCTTTCCTCTGTGGCACATACAGCCACCCAAGAAAGTGGTGCCCAGAGCAGTTGTCCAAACTGCCAAATGTTCCCATGGGGCCAGAAAGGTTACCAACTGCAGCACTGTCACAGCTGGTTACCCTTCTCCCTCTGTTCATTAGAAAGCAAAAAGACACACAGAGATGGCTTCATTGCTGCAGCCCACTTTAGGTTGGGTACCTGAAGTCTCCTGACTCACCATCTGAAGTGCTTGCAGTCTCCTGAACTACCATCAAAGAGCAAAGGCACAGAGCTTACCAGTTTAGGTTCTTCATACAGCTCCGTGTTTTTGCTGAGGGACCTGTGAGGTAGAGGCACCGAAGATGATATTCCATGCTGAGTTTTGCACGAGCTTTGAACTTTTTCTTCACCTGCTGAAGGCAAGTCCTCTCTCCCTGGGGACGGGTACCGTGAAGGTGGCTCTGAAGAGCTCTGGGACAACGTCTTCTTCATGGAGAAGTATCTGGCTGAGGACATTTCCCTGCTTGGAGATACGTGTCTCACAGGGGAGACCCTCCTCTCTGGTGGAAGATACACTCGTGGAGATGACAGCTCTCTTCTTGAAGAAGCGTATCTGCTTGGCGACGGCTCAAGTCTTGTGGACAAGCTATGAAGGGGAACTGCCTCTCTCCTTGGAGACATCCGATGACAGGGCATGCCCAGCCCCAGAGAGAGACTTCTCAGTGAAGATGTTTCTCCAGTGGGCGAAAACCTTTTCAGTGAAGTTTCATTTTTGGTTAAGAGGTGCTTTCGAGCCAGTATTGATCGGTTACCACCACCAGTGCCAGACTCCTTGCCTGGGAACCATTTCCTTCTAGGAGAGGTGTCTTTGGAGACGGACAAGTCCATTGCTAATGGCACCTGTGGCTTTGCAATTGATTCCTTCTCAGCTAGGAGCATACTAGAGGTCAAAACTGGCTGATGGAGTCTCAACAAGCTGTGGCAGACAGCAACTTCACTGTTATCACCAGACCATTTCATTTCTGCTTCCGAGGAGGTGGTCTGGTGACTTTGAACAGCACACTCACTGCTGGAGACAACGTCTTCAGCCGTAGGCAAGGCTGTCTTAGTACCTTTCTCCTGGGCAGAGGGAGAACATCTTGGAGAATGCTCTGGGAGGCAGGTGTTCTTCATTTCTGAGGCCTTTGCAGGTGGCTCCTCTTGGCTTTCCTCCTCCTCTTCCTCCTCTTCCTCCTCTTCCTCCTCCTCCTCCTCCTCATTGTCATCATCTTCATCAGACTCTTCCAAGTCTGAAAACTGGTGTTCTTCAAGCAGCTCGGATCCCTCCTGCCCTTCTGAATCTTGGAAGAGATCTTCACTGGTTCCTAAAGGGGGAACAAATGATTGATCAAGTATCTTCAAATATCTATATTTATGTCAATACAGATTTATATCTATATACACACAATCAAAGCAACCATATCTTTGAAAACCACTGGAGATAAACTTTGCTGTGCTCTGTACAACTAGTAATGGTGCAACATTTGGAAGGGAGCATAAAATGTGAACTCTTCACTGTGCAAAAACTGTGGCCCATCTCAAGTCCGCTCCTGACTTTCCAGCTTGGGCTCAAGTTGCAACAAGAGTCACACATTAAGTTCTTATTCTTCCCATCCTAGGTTAAATTCTTCCCAGACTTTTGAGCATTTTTCCAAACTGAACGTCTTCCCGAGGCTTGATTTCCAGATGCCTATTATCCCAACATATATACCATACAAAATATATTTTGGTACATCTTTAAAGCTAAGAACTGCATAATAAAATTGGAGAAGTGCGAACTTTGAAAGGCAATTTGTCTCTGATCTGCATATTAGTGTAGGACATGTGGATCAGGTCTGTTTGTGTTGAGAACAAGAGGGGCCATTGTTCTTGGCATGCGCTTTCCAGTCGCACCAGTCTAGACTCACCGGAGGAATTGGGGGCCTGGCAAATGGGCTTCAGACACTGAGGCAGTGCAAGTGGAAGAGCCCATCCCAGTGTCACCCTCCCCAGGTATTCAGGAGGAATCTGAGACCAGCCAAGATTTACATGCTGTTGGGAGAGAAGAACCAGCCAACCAGAGGGTCAGTAGAGACACGTCTGCCTCCAGTGGGGCTTTCCCATAGGGATGGGGTCCAGAGTTACTCACAAGGAGGATTCTCAGAACGAGCTGCTAGATTGGGCTCAAGGAACAGCTCTGTGCATGCTCAGACACTCGCTCTTTGTTGGTTATGCCTACTGGAAGTTCATTAGGAAATGAAGAGCTTTTCACCAAAAAACAGTCTGTTCTGGAAGTGCAAAGGGGGAAACTTAGTTTGCGGCAGTTTGACTCAGAATATGTAATTCCTAAAGCAGCTCTACTTTAATAATACATTGTTATTAAGTCATTTTCACTGACTGCTGTGGGATTTCATTGTGATCACTTAATCATCTGGATGACAAAGCGATGCTTTATGTGCACATCATTATTCCTGATGGGTCAGAGTTTTTGCATGGGGATGATTTGAAAGGAGAGAAATGGAAACTGTTTACATGAGTTCCTAGGTACCACAAGAAGAGCAGCAAGTGGACCAAAACTGCATTTGAAGTGTGATCCTATGGCCTCCCAACATTTTCTGGGGGCCATAGGATAGGAAGGAGTTCCAGTTCGGTTTGCAGAAAAATTTTCCAAGGATGGAGCTGAGATTTCAACCTTGGAGGGCCCTCCCTCCTTTTCTTTTCACATTCAGCACAGTTCTTTCCATTGCAGCTGGGCTCTGAAGGTGGAAGTCTTATTTTCAGATCTGGTGCTATGTGTACGGTGGTGGTGTTGGAAAGCATGGAGGGAGAAGCAAAGCACCACTGTCCTCTGAAAAATCCCACAGGTGCGTCAGCCTTTCCTCTTTGCAAGGAGTGGCTAAGCAATTCAGACAGCTGAACTCAGCTTTCTATGTTTTGACAGATCAGGGGTGCATGGAGGCAGCCCTTGCTTCCACACTCCTCTCTCTTCCACTGGATGCCTGTAATTTTCCAGGTTTGGCACTCTCCAGTGACTGGCTTGTAAAATTTGCATCTATATATATAAAGGAGCAGAGACAACTTTTTCACATATCATTTCCTCTATTCCTCTTGTTTTCCTGTTTGCAGGGGACTGATAACTAGTCACCAGAGTCAAAGGGAGAGCATAATTAGGTATGCTGCCCCTGAAATCTCCTTTAAAAATCCTACTTCTCCTTCTTGGTGGACATGATGGACCGTTTGATATAAACACAAAGGAAGTAAGCACTGTGTGTGTGTAGAGAGAGAATGCAAAACTGCATGCCTTGCCATCATGAGGCAATGAAGCCAAACACATTCCAGTGGACAGGAGTACTGCCAAAATCAACAGATGAGGAAGGATTGCAGTCCAGTGGATTGCTGGTTTCCACGAAACTAAGATCAGCTTTCATGATGGAACTCTGCAGGTGTCCAGGATCTGAAAAGGCAGGTGTAAATAAGGACCCTTGGCCCAGGATCTGAAATAAGGACCTCGACTGCCACTTCAGGTGCACTCAGCCATGCAAAGTTTGGAGCATGAGGGCAGCACTGCAGTATGCTTTGGAGTTCCCTTTTCACTTTTCCCTGGGCATCCTTCCCACTTTTGGAAGCAGAGCAAACTTCCACTGGCTCAGAGGCTTGAACTGCTGCTGAGACCCTGACTTGCTGTCCTGCTCATGATGCGTCACCATTAGGCCAGCTTGGATGTGGGAACTGTTTGATAGGCCAAGGCAGTTAGCCACCGGAGGGGCTCCTTTCAGAGACCGTGCCTCCGCCTCCTAGTCATCCACAGCACAGAACACAGTCATGATTTTCCAGGCTTTTAGCACACTGCTAACAAGGACCAGTTGTTCAGCTTCCTCCTTTTCCCCCACCAACAGTTCAAGGGATGACTTCATTGTGATGTTGCAGGTTGGCCAACGGGCCACCCAACTTTCACATTTTTGGTGCATCTTAAGATGTGGGTTGAGGTAGTTGGCTTAAGAATAGGGATGGTTCTTGAGAACCTCCTGAATCTGATCAACTATTAAGAGTAAGTAAGCAGACACCACAACTTCTCCAGAAATCTGACACAGAAGCAGATGTCCGCTGGCTGACACCACTGTGACTGACACAATACTGGGACTTTCTTTTGCTTTGCACATTCTTTCCTCCCAGGGGTAACCCTCTGGCAATGTAGCATCCACTCCAAATGGAGAAATGTTTTTGCACAAAGCAAAGCAGCAGGGAAAAAGGGTCCAAGGGAGAGCTTGGATCAACCAGAGGGAGGGGAAATAAGACCTTGGAGGTAAAAGCAATTTCTGGTTGCCCCAGAGAGAGCAGCTGTGTGATTGCAATGGCACAAGGAGAGCCCCGCTGGATCGATGTCTGCCCCATCCATTCTAGCAACCTGTTTTGCTGGTTCCCAGCAACAGAGCGTTCTGCTTCTGCCACTGCTCTCTGGACCAGAGCTGCTTTCTAACTTTTTTATTTTATTTATATGCCACTACTCAAGATACAAATCCATCCAAATGAGAAATGCTGGAGACACTTGCAAAAGATTGAAGGGAATGAGGATTTCTACTAATCTGACTTGTGGATTCAGCAGCCTTGCAGAAGGGTTTTAAAAAATGTAAGGGATTTGCACTAACTCGCATTTCCAAATTAGCAAAAGTCTGGTGAAATAGAAGTGATTCCTTCCATAAGCAGATGGTCAAACAAAATACACCTGAGAATCCATGAAACCTAGGTAGAATGGACTTAACATGATCCTGTATATCCCGAAGCCAAGTAAAATGGTAGACAATGTCAAAAGGATCACCATGATATTTTCCATAGAATGGCTGATAGAATTTGGTGTTGGGGGAATGCAAAGTCCCACTGGAGAGGGAGAGGGGAACAGGCAGCAGCAGACCAGCTGCTCTGCATGTAGATTCCCCAGGTTTAATCCTAAGGATCTCCAGGAAGGGCTTGGTGGAAGGAATTCTGTCTGAAACCCTAGAAAGCTGCTGTCAGAGCACTGGGCCAGCTGGACCTGTTGCCTGGCTCAGTATAAGTCTGCTTCATCTGGTCTGAAGAGCAAGCATCGAACACCATCCTCCTTTCCTTTTTACTACAGGGGTTGCTGAGGCTAGATGGCCCTGGGGTCTCAGTGGGAGACGGAGTCCAGCTGGGGCGAGGTCTGAGATCTTCCCTCACCTCAGGAGAAGGAAGGATTGCATTCAGTTTGGAAGCATGCTGACCTGAGCTGCATGTCCCCAGTCCCTGAACTGCTCCAGGGATTTTTTCCTTCCAGTTCTGCACACGTCTGAATTTTGTGTGCAGCTTTTAGCTGAAAGAATATGCAGTGCATATAGTATATATTTTAAAATATAAAATCTACCTGGATTAATGGAATCTCCCCTAATGTAGCTGCCCCTACAGTCTATTTATTTAAACAAAAGCTGAAGACATTCCTGTGGTTTAGACACTGGGACTGTAACATGTTTAGGTGTGGCCCTAGAAAGGTTTATTGCTGCTGTTTTACTAGATGTTAAGTATTGTGATCTGAAGGATGCTTATTTTTCTGCTCTATGGATGGATAGATAAGAAAATAAATGGGCAAATACAATGCACAGAGAATGGGTATGACTTTTGTGCAATTAATTTTAGAAGGAAGATTCATGCAGAAAGAGGATGAGAAGGACTTAGGAAGGAACACATGCAAATGGGGCCTGGACCAAAAATAGCCTGATCCATCCATCCCTAGCCGTGTGCCCAGCAAGCTGGGCTGAAGTGCCATGCCCTGTTCGGAGTTCAGCTGCTGCTTAATGACCCGAGATGATTCATAATTCATCTGTGATGCCACACGGAGCACATTCTCTCTCAAAGATTCGATTCTCGTGCACGGCACTCCTCCTTTGCTATTCCCAGCACAACTCTGGGGGAGTGGGCGTGCAGATTACCGTCTCTTCAGAGGAAAAGTGCACGGCTTGTCACTGCTTGCAGAAGGGAGAGGAGGGGAGAGGAAGGGATGTTTTCCCTTGACTGCTATTCTAGGATTCTAGTTCTAATTTCATGGATGAGGAGGCTTCTCTGGGCTGCTTGTCTGGATGGGAAGATGCTGCCTCTGGTATCAGAGATGGTGTGCACACCACTTGCTGAAAAACATGACTGTGTGGAGGTGCTACTGCTTGTGGCCTTCCCACAGGAGGCTGGTTATTCATTGCAAGAACACAACGCCGGCTAGATGGACCCTTGCCGGATCCCACAGCGCTCTCCTTATGCTTTTTCCCATCATCACCACTTTCCAGATCTCGGAGACAGGCGTTCAACAGGATTAAGCTAGCCCTGTATACGTGGAGAAACCACACAGGTGCAGTCTTCATACTGCATTACCACCTCAGGAGGGAAGAAATGCATTTGCACAGCAATGAAATGCACTTCAACAGCAACAAAAGAAATCTAATAAACTGCTGGCAACAGTTTATAAAAAGGTGGCATGTTAGAATTCCAGCGGAATCTTCTCACCCGATTTTCTTGATTGTGTTGCAGCTGTTGGTTTACATGGAGGAATAGCTGGTTTCCAATTATGGCTTTCCATTCCATAATTGGAAATCATAATGATATGATTTTTACAGTACTGTAATATTACAGTACCACAATATTAATAAAAGGTGTATATTGGCTGGCTGGCTGTAGGGTTACAAGTGAAGGTACAAGGCAGGCTTCTTAACAGCAACACGTATGTATCTGCTGAAAGTGTCCCTGCCCTGTGTCCTGCTGTTCAGGGAATATATCAGCAGAGCCATTTCAGAGAGAGCGAAGCCATTTGGAATTTCAATAGGCTGATCCAAAACCCAGTCCTTGGCACAAGTCATGGTACCCGTATTCAAAATCAGAGGCATATGGTTGCAAATGGTTTGCTCCTCACTGAGCTGCTTCGCATGTAACGCCTGCCCAGAGAACGGGGTGAAAATGAATCGCCGTTGAACCACGGACTGTCACTGAGTCATGAGTTATGACTGCATTCAAACCCTGTAATTGAGAACATTAAAAGCCCACAATGGATCAGAGCAAAGGTCCCTCTAGCCCAGCATTCCATACACACAGTGGCAAACCAGCTGCCCTCAGGACCTCTCAAGCAGGATGGGAACCAGGCCTCCTCCTGCCCAGCTGCTCAGTAACGGGTGTGGGCAGGCATGCTGCCTCTGGTGAAGGCGGTAACCCATAACCAGAGAGGCTAGTAGCCGCTGATGGCCTCCTCCTCCATGAATCTGGCTAATCCCTTTTTAACGCCACCCAAATTGGTAGGCATCATCACTTCCCATGGCGATAAATTCCAAAAATTTTACTATACACTGTGAAGAGGTACTTCCTTCTATCTATCCCAAACCTTCCACCAATCAGCCTCATTGGATGACCCTGGGTTCAAGTGTTATGGTCAAGCTGTTTTCACACCATGCATTATTTCAAACACCTCTACCATGCCACCTCTTACCATTTTTTTTTTTTTTTTTAGCTAGACAGTTGTTATAGCAATTTCTCTTACTGGAATTGCTCCACCTCTCTGATCATTTTAGCTGCCTTTCTCTGTACTTTTCCCAACTCAATAATGTCCTTTTCCAGGGAAGGTAACCAGAGCTGAGCACAATTTTCTAACTGTGGTTGTACCAAAGCTTAGTATGAGGAAAGCAAGATCTTGGGTGTTCCATTTTCTATTCCTTCTCTAATTTTTTGTTGGAGTTTGCCTCCTTCACAACAGCTGGGCCAACATTTTCATCAAGCTGCCCACCGCCCACCCTACCCCAAGATCCCTTCCTTGCTCCTTCACTGCCAGCTCAGATCCCATCAGCCCATGCTTGAAATGGGGATTTTTTTGTTCTGATGCGCATTACTTTACACTTGCTTATACTGAACTGCATTTACCATTTGACGCTCATTTTCTCAGCTTGGAGTGATCCCTTTGGAGCGCCTCACAATCCCATTTGATTCTAACCACCCTAAAGAGTTTGGTGTCGTCAGTTCTGGGTTCAAGGTGAACTCTGGGTTGTTCCTCTGTGCATACCAGGCCATTGTAAACCAAGTGCTATGTCCAGTGAAGGTTTTGCCTGGCTGGTAAGAACTCGCTCATTCCCATCATGCCCTGGCAGTGGGGCCACCTTCTCTCTCCTCCTCACTTACCCGGCAATGGAAAAACTGGAGCAGTATCAGGTACCTCTCTGAAGATGTAGCCTGGCTCTTCCCTCTTCAAGGCATTGCTGTTTTCAAGGTGCTTCAGCACTGCATTCTCAGTATGACTGAAGTCATGATTGTGGCCAATGAAAAGATTGGCAATTCCGGGGACGGGGAAGAAAATGCTGGTGGGGCGGGGGGCTTCCTTCTGTCCATTTTTTGCTTTATTTATATTTTAACACTAATAGAGGCAATCTTGTTTGCTGTTTGTTTGGTAGTAACCACCATTCTGTCCCACTTAACCATGGCTGAGAACAGTTCTGTTTCCCAGTCATTCAAGAGAGAAAAATATAATTTTTTATTATGGTGTCAATACTGCAGAGACAGCATCTTAAAGCAGCAAGCATGGAAGGAAGAAGCTATGCCCCATTCTTTCACTGCCACAAGGCTAACCCTCTGGAAAATGAACAAAATCCACACACACTTTAGCACTGGAGAAAAGGGTTACTGAGTTTGGGTCCACCCGTGCCTGGAATCAGGAATGAAATATACAATATGGCACATGTCCTTTACCTTCTTCTGCTTCTAGTTCCACCAGTGAAGACACCAACACACCCATCTCCTGACATTTTTTGCTGTGGGCTTTTGATTTCATGTGTTTAGTCAGATTCCCTGAAACAGAACAAAACATTCAGATTGGTCAGCCATCGTGAGCTTCCTGCATGCAGTGACCAGAGGCGCTTCTGTGGGCAGCCCTTTGCATTCTCTGCCAGACCCAGAGGTGGCTACCCTTGGATGAGCAGCTGAGCACATGTCTAGTGAGATAATGACGCAATGACTAACTCTCATGCAGTGTGGACAGAGTGGGCAGGCACGTGCTTTGCAATGCTGGAGAGGTGCTACCAGGATGCTTTCCGCTTGACACACGAAACAGGCAGAGAAAACCAGGCAAGAGAGATGCTACGTATGGAGTGGACAATCCTGGCCCACATGTCTCCAAACTCAGCAGAGCGCACATAGGATCAGGCACTACCAAACACGGCAAGGCCGAGTTCCCTCTCCAGAGACACCACTGGCCATCACTGTCAGTGGCATTCAAGGGAGAAATAAGAGGCAAGAGGATGAGAGACACAATGAAGTGGGATGCAAACCTCATGGTCTTCTCCATGTTGAGCTGAAGAGCGAGAATATAAAAAGCAGGGGTATGTGATATGTGCCCTTCCAGATATTGTGCCCTTCGATTCCACAGCATTGGGTATGCTGGTTAGGGGCTGATGGGAGCTGTTGGCCAAACATCTGGAGGGCCACTTTCTCCACCCACGACACCCCTGGCTTGTGCTTACATACTTGAGGAAGGCATGTTATGCATGCTGGCTGTCTCTGGCGAGCTTGTGACCCAGCAGCAATCCATGGTTTGGTGCAGCACTAGCCCCAGGTTGGGAGGAAACTTCAGGCAAGGTGCTCTCTAGAGGGGGAACTCTGGAGGAGGACCCAGGACCCCTGGACTTGCACTGGTGTTGCTCCTCGCTTGCCGGAAAAGCCACTGCTTTGGCTTTGGGTATGAGCAACAGGCAGGGGGGCTTTCCTCACCATCCTTGCTGCAAATGGCCACTGGCTCCAGGCCAGGAAGTTAGCCTGTCAGCAAACAGGTGACAGAGGCAAGGCCATGGAGTCCTGGGTCTTTCGTCAGGGGTGTGCGGCATGGTGGGTTCCAACCATTCCAACTCCTTGGTTTGGAGTCCAGCAACTACTTGGGAGGGGGTGCATTGCCTCCTAGTCCACCACATTCTCTCCTGGCACTTTAATTCCCTGACATCCTGGTTCTCAGCATGTACTATTAATCCCAAGTAAGCACAGAATTGTTTCCACCGAAAACGAGGAGAGAAAGGAGCACATGAGCCAAAGGTTTGTTTGCCAGAAGCAGAGCTCAGTAACTAGCAGTCCTCCAGACATGTTGGCTAAGGCTCCCAGTATCTTCAGCATGGGCTCTGCTTGGCAAAAAACACGTGGAAGGCTGCAGGTTGCCCACTTTGATGTAAGCCAAACCACGGTCTGGAGGTGAAGTGGGCTCGCCTGCGTGTCACACACAAGTCACAATTTGCCAGAGTTAAGGAGATTCCTTCAGGTATGAAAAATCTGTTGGGACCACACAAAGGATTTTGGGAACCTATCACTAGATTTTGAATCTGTCCCAGAATCAGCCAAAAGATGTTTCTGCTCAGTTCTCCACTGACATGGCAGTGTAAGCTGAGGACAGGCCACGAGGAATCCCAACAAGGATTGCTGAAACACACACCTTCCCTTGGGCATGCTATGCAGAGAGTCAAGAGACGCTGTTAAATGGAGAGAGCTATAGTGGTGGCGGCGAGAGGATCAATGAAACTCTGGTGGAGGGACCATCTGTGGGTAAAGCACTTCCTCCCACAGAAGGTCCATTACTCTCATGCACAGAAGAGCAGGATCCGGCCATTGGTTGGCAGTAACTATGCAACTGTATTGATGTTTGAATTGGTTCGCGGGAGTGCACAGAAGTAGGGAAGACAGGCATAAGAACACAGGCAGAAGCCTGCTGAGTGGGATTACAGGTCCATCCAGTCCAGCTTCTTATTCCCAGTCATGGACAGAATCCTCTGAGAAGCTCACTGCAGAACATGGAAAAATCAGGCTTCCATATCTAGCAGCTACTATTCAGTAACTGGAATTATATCACACACCTTCCTCAAACTAGTGTTCTGGACTACATCTCCCATCACCTTCAACCACTGATTGTGCTGTTTAAGGCTGAGTGACCCAGCCTGGGGAAAGCTGTGCCACAACAACCAAAGAGCTTGGGAGGATCTTGAGCTTGCAAATCCTTGGAAACCCAGTGACCATCTTCCTGGCATCACACTCCACAAAGATGCACAACCTAGATCCCCTGTGTAAGGACAGAGCTGTTGCTCGGTCCACTTATGGGGCTTAGTTGCAGGGGTGTGTTCTCATGCCCTGCTGGTCTGAGGAATTGAGAAGAGTAAGCACAGACCACAGAGCCTCTCAACGAAGTAAACCTTTTACTATTTGGAACGTTAAAAAGAGCTCTTTGGATCAGACTGAGGGTCCCTCCAGTCTAACATCCTGCTTCACAGAGTGGCTGGCCAGATTCTGTTGCAATGTCCACAAGCAGGTCTTGCAGACAATGGCAAACCTCTCCATTCTTGGCAAACCACTCCATCCTCTCCATTCAGAACTAATCTTCAGTGGAATAAAACTTTTGCACACAGAGAGAAGGGTGGAAAGCACTCATCAGGTTGGACCCAATGGCCTTCATGGCCCCTTCCAACTCTACTGTTCTAAGAGAGCTCTACATTGCATTGCTCACTCCAATGGCTCAGGTTGGGTTGGACTCAGAAATAAGCTTTGTGCAGCAGGAAGCAGCTTGGCTGGTTTCTGAGCCAGAGCTAAATTTGGCCACCAACTTCACCAGAGAGAGACCCCATATTTTGCAGGTCACCATCCATGAATTATGGAACCTCACGGGGCTCCTGGAGTTCAATGTCAACTCCACAGCTAAAGAGACTTCCCGCTGTCACAAATCCTCCCAGGCTGCAAAGTTGTGATTTATAAGGAGAGAATTTGGACACTTGCAAACTTGCCCCAATCTTGGCCTGCAAATGACAGCCAGCACTTTGCAACTCAGGGTCAGCGTATCCCTGGGTTTCAGGGGGTTTCTTCTGGAAACTCAACAAGCACTCCTGATCTCAGGCCAAAATGACAGCCAGCCCAAGAAGCCCCGTGATCCCTGGCTGCCTTTGACAGTATCACTTGGCCAAAAGAAACACTTCCGGACTTCTCCTGCCTCTGCAAAGCTGACATTTGGAGGTTTGTTGTGGAGGAGTCAGTGGGAGAAGGCACCAAGAAATCCAATTCAAAGAAGTTGCAAGAGAATCCCTGTTCACAAGGGATTCACACAGGGATGGAGTAGGAACCCCAGAAGCTCCTATCCAGCTCACTGCCAGTGGCCCCTCGTCAGTAATCTCAAGGCTTAAGAGAGTCATAAAAGGGCTTAGGTGGCCTAGATCTCTCTGGCAGCACAAATTCATTGGCATCAACCCAAGTGAACATGAAACATGTTCTTGTCTGTCCTTCCTCAAACTGGAGACGGAGATTTGTTCTGATAGAGAAGACAGAATCAGGCACGAGAAAGAGGAGAAGAGAAAGAGTTACCGATCGAAGAACATTGCAGAACGTTTCCCTTCTCTTCCTTACCCTTCTCCCTTCACCTCCGGGGACTGAGTGGATTGAAAATATGAAGGCATGTACTTCCTCGGTGAAACTCCTTCAGGGTTTAGTTAGCTCCTGAGCATGTCTCAATATCTAGCTGGCTTCTCCAAATGCACTGCAACAAGATGACATAGCCGAGACTCTCCTAACTGTTGGCAAGAGGACCTGCAACCTGATACACCTGGAACATTAGGGTAACAAAAGGAAGCCAAGCCACTGGTCCCTCTGAAATTGCTTAAGCAAAGTGTCTGCACCTCTCCCTGGGGGCTTGTCAAGAGCCACTGTGAGGGTGCCTTTACCTAAAGAGGCCCAATGCACAGTGAATTTAGCCTTATAGCCTATCAGGCCCAGTCTGTTCAGCAGACGATCAATAGGGTTAAATGTTGGTGTTTGGGGATGATGAACCCCTTTGGATGACAGTTCTAATCCTTTTTCAACAATCCGTTTAAGGATTTTGAACAAACTTTCTCCCCACGCTTTCCTACATGCTCTAATCTAAAATGGAAATGCTAATGAGCTACAGTTGCTGTTTTCTAATAAATATGAACTGCAAACTAGTCTGAATACTAAATTGGTTTTAAAATGCATATGAATGAAGATAGCATCATGTGGAAGGTGAATTTTGCCTGAACTGTCCAATACATTTTGCTGCCTGATGCAAAGGAGAAGACCATGCCCTCCCTCACTCCAGGGACAGAAGTCCACCAGATTGGTGGCTGAATATTATGCCAATCCTGGCAATGAGATGGTGCACCTGAGGTCGGCTGGCCTGTTCAGCCTTGCTCCTGAGGTACAAGGCAGGCAGTGTGGCACCTGCATCTCTGTTCTCCAACCTGCCACTGCTGCTTTCTACTCCCAGGCACAGGAGGGGTCCCAGGAGCATATACTGTCATGTCAGCATCCAGCCAATCAGCTGAGCCCATGGGATGATTCTGAATGGGCAAACATTTCCTGCCCTCTCTCCTGAATGACTGCCCAAACAGAGGAAGGTATATTTAATGAGATCAGCGGGTGTTGGTGCTGCCATAAATGCACCCCTATGTCTCAGTTTGCTTCCTCAAGGTTCAGGAGGACAGCCTGAATGGGTATGATATTTTATGGTTCAGTCTGACTGCGAATGGTTGGGTACTGTGTCATTGAAGTGCATTGACTGCTGTGAATATAGTATGTGACTGTTCTAAAATTAAAATTTAGAAAAGGCCTTTATCTGCATTATGAACATAGCAACATCTCAAGAGCAGCAAGAGCAGCCTTGGGTCGGAACACCATCCGTGGCCGGCGCTCTGCTGATCTCCAATAGCCTTCCCTTTGCCCCTTTCACATAAAGCCTTGGGCATCGTTATGTGATGCCCCCTTTGCACTGAGCAATGGCACATTGCTACAGACTGTGTATCAGGGTCCACAACCTTTGA